AGGGAAGGAGAGAGAGAGAGAGAGAGGGGGGGGTATAGATATTAGAGGGCGAATAACACTTGGCAGGGAAAGTTCGGGCAACGGCTTCGAGTTTCCGATCTCCTGCGAGACGTTCTCTTCCAAACCTTACAAGTTTCGCCAGTTTCTCTCCACTTAGATCTCTCGTAACTCGATTGATACGGTCCCCCGGTTCCCTCGAGTGGTTTTCGTTAACCATTGACCGCGCAGCAAGTTTTTGTTTCCACGTTTGGGGACACCACGAGAAACTGCATTATTCAACGTTTAATGGTATCCTCTATCGCCAAGTTGAGAATCGTAGCGACCGACTTGAAAGAGATAATATTGTGTGTGTATACTCATCCTTCTTCTTCTTCTTCTTTTTTAAGAAGCTAATTAATATAAGGAACAATTAAGCAGAGATGCACTCAATCCTCGTGTCGTTCTAACGAGAATGAAAATGAAAGGCATTGTCTTTTGTCGTCTGACGGGGAACAGGGGCGGCCCGGTGACGTTTGTTTCTTCCCTTTAATGGACGAGCCCCCATTTTCCGGAAGCAAGAACCCCTCCTCTCACGGTTGAATCCTTCTTCTTCTTCTTCTTCCTCCTCCTCCTCCTCTTCTTCTTGGTCAAATAACCATAAATTCCCGTGTTTCGCGTTTCTTAATAATCCCGGTTTCGAGAGGGTGGAATTATCTAAATGAAATATTCAAGAGGGACCCACGGTTACATGCACGCCGTGGTTATTGTACGTGAAAGCCGGTGACAAGAACGAATGAAGCTCGTTTCCAAGGGCCGGCTCTTGTTCCGTTGGCTTCCGAGTAAAAGGAAGCGAGGAAGGAAAAAAAAAAAAAGGAAGAAAAAAAAAAAAAAGAAAAAAGAAAGGAAAAAAGGAGGAGGAAGCGAAAGAGAAAACTTCTCGTATTTTATCAGCCCACTTAACAATCCTCTTCATTCCGCGGCGACAAATTCCCGCGAGGGGCCACCCTTTGAAGCTACAACTTTAATCAATTTTGCCCCCTCCACCTTCTCTCCGTCTTCCGCTTTCAATTTCTGAACGTTCACCCCCCTCGAAAACACGGGTTAGAATAGTATCGACGGTCGACGCTTGTTTCCAACTTTTAAACGAAACATACTTGATATTCCTGATTTTCTTCGTTTCGATCGGATTTGAGGGAGATCGAATTGTTAAAAAAAAAAAAAAATACGATAAATCTCTTTCTGATTTAGAAATAATCTAAAATTACACAATTCTTCTGAATCGTTTTCATTTCAACGGATTAAAAGAAGAATCTTGAGCGAAAATTTTAGCAGCCCCGAGAATCGTTCAATTCTCTCTAAATTCGTGCTGGTTCGGAATAATAATAAATTTCCACGGGCCAATGCACTTTGAAAACGGCCGGTTCTTAACATCTTAAAAAGCCTCTTCCTTCTTCTTCCCTCCTCCTTGTTATCCGAAAAATTCGAACTTGCGACGAGGAAAAAAAAAAGAAAAAAAAAAAAAAGTCTGAATTCCTGCACAACCGATCGACTTTACCTTTCTCGCGTCTAATTGGTATGGAAAGAGAAATGCCACGAATTACCGGGAATTGAAAGCGGCACCGCCGCGCCTCTTAATTACTAGGCCTCCTTCGCTATTGGCGAATTCAGTCGGTCGTTGCGGCCCAATCTCGAGGAAGCTAACGAACGTACTTGGCCGACTTTTTCTTTGCACTTCCACGCGAACGTTCGTCCCCTGGATTTCCCTTATCGCCGCTCCGTGGCCGGTTCAACCATTCCTTGCCAATTTATTTCGTAGACGCGTCTTCGTTCATTCTTTCGAATCTTGCATTATTTTTATTACGATAGACATATTGGATTGGTGTCGATATCGAAAGATCGATTTTACGAGACAGAAAGAAACGCAAAGTATTTGAAAATATCAGTTCCAAAAAAAAAAAAAAGATATCAGATTTATATTCGTTGTGAATATTTTTAAAAATATATTCGATCAATTTTTGATTCGTTCTCAAGTTGGCCTTCTTCGTATCGGAAGAAGTTAAGGAGGAAGGGAATCTAAATTCTGCGTAAACAGAATTGGTTGATTAATCGTCACTTGGCCGGTCTAAAAAGTAATAATTATCATAATTTTCCATCCCCAGAAAATTGCGGGGACCAATTCTTCGCCCCCAAGAAAGTGGAGAAAGATTCATTTACCTCAACGATTAATTTCGTTTACAGAAGCTTCAATTGAAATCGGTAACCAGGGTCGTTAAACTTGGCTTCACAAAGATTTACCCGGCTTTACAAAGTCCTTAAACAGCTTAAAGAGCTCCGAACTTGGTTATTTCTCCCACTGTCTGAAGCGTTCAAACATATTTTCTTAGAAGAGGGGGGAGGGGGGAGGGGGGGGGGGAGGGATTAAATTTTAATTAGAGAAAAACACAATTACTTTATCCATAATTGAACCTTTATGCGATTTCTTTTCTGTTATTCTATGATTATATCCTCGATCCAATGTTCCGATTTCAATCGCAACATCTAATTTAATTAAAAACAAGCACGCTCCGAAATTAAATTAAACGTTTGACGCATTTTCAGAAATCTTATCTCATCATCGAATCTCTAATTTAATCAAGGTGTTTAATTAAACCGATGCAACTACTCAAACCTTACTTTTTCCCCCTTCTTTTTCGAAGCATCCTTCAACGAATAAACGCCTTGTATAAAATATTAAATTCCTCCTCGACCAAGAGAGAACCAACAATATCCTTATTTCCTGACAACGATCAACGAGAAAGCTTCACGGGGAAAAAAATAATAAAAAGCCAAGTGCTGCCCGGACTCACCTTCGGAATCCGACGTGTCGGAGAGGGGCGGCTCGTTGGCGATGTACTGCCGTCCGCTCAGCAAATTGTTCTCGACGATCGGTCGTTTGTCCTCGAGCTGCCTCCTGAACCCGCGATGATCGTCCTGCAATGCAGAGAAGAAACGTGAGAGAGGGAGAGAGGGACCGTTCACGCTCGAGTTGTTGCTCGTTTGCTCGCCTGCACGCCCGACAACCTAAGTAGGCTAATTCACCGAGCTTTAAACCTCGACCAAGCGCAGACCCATCGACGTCGTCTTCATCCCGCCGCGTGCATTCGTAATTTCGTTTGACAAGGCATCGCGCAGCACATCGTGGCGCAGACGACTCTAAGCCGCGAGTGGTTCACGCGAGAGGAGAGACGTGAAAATGAAAACAAGAAAAAACCAATGAGAGAGAGAGAGAGAGAGAGGAGGAAAGAGATCTGCTGCAAGTTTCACGATATCGCGTGTACTCCGACGACGACGACGACGACGACGGTTTCTCGTTTTAACGAGATTATCTCTTCTTCTCGAGAAAATTTAGACACAGGAACACGCTTATTTTCCTTTTTTTTTTTTTTTCTTCTTTTTGTTTCGTCTTCTATCTTCTAGTTAGAAATGGCGATTTTTTCCCCTCGCGCATACACACGCTCTCGAAACACGGCCTCTTTTCTTCCTTCCTCGTACGCTTGGTCGTTGACTCGTATCTTCGTATTTTTCGAGCGACAACCGAGAGATGGCGCGTGGATGTCTTTTTCGCGGCGAACGCGCGAAAAAATCGTTTCAAACGGGCCGGAATAATTCACCTACTTTCGTTGTTGCGACCACATAGCTGCTCTTTCTCTCTCTTTTTCTCCTCTTTCGAAAGAGCGACGATAAAAAAAGGGGGGGTGGGTGGGTGGGTGGGGGGCTCGTTATATATTTATTAAATCAAAGAGCGAGAATTATAATATCGAGATTGAATAAAATGGCCGCGGATCCTCTTCCCTTTTTTCGTCCTTGGAATTCGTCTTTCGTCCCCATTTTCCGTGCGTTAAAAACGCGTTTAACGAGCTTCCTTTCCCCTATATATAGGAGGGGGAAACTGGTGTAGGTGGTAGATGCGAATTAATCGGGAATGGAATTTTTTATCTTGAATGAAAATTCGCCGGGGAACTCGCCCGTTTTTTTAATTAGAAAAATTTCCCTATCTTTTTGTACCTTTCAATGCGGTTCCCGTTAATTTTAACTATCATTGCGCTGCGAAACGAAAGATTCGAGTATCCAATTACAGATAGTTGGATACCGTAACGTCGAAAATTGGGAAATTCACCTAGCCACACGGTTGAACACGGTTTCCAAGTTAATTTCAACTTTTTAACCCTGCGCTGCGAAAACAGTAAAATCGAGTATCCTTTACAAACTACCTGTTATTGTTAGCTGATAATGTTGTTAGGGAGATTCGCCCATCTCTTCTCACCCTCCAATGTGATCACCAATTCTTCCGATTTTTATTAACTTTCATTGCTGAAAAACAGAATTCGAAAAACTATTCTTTCCTCCTCGTTTCAACAACGAATTAATTACGAATTTCTACTTACTTTCTTTCAATCCCCTACGTTTTCTCCTACTCTTTTTCATTCGTTATCCGAGCAGAGTTTTGAGAATCCTTCCGACACGGGATTCGGATATCCTGTTCAAGGATAACTCGAGTATACAAAGATCGAACGAATCGATTTTATTCCAGCGATCGAGAGCAACTAAATTCGTCCATTCTATCCACCAACCACTAGACGTTTTCTAATTGGCCACGTCGAGATAATCGTCTTATCGTATCGGTTATCGGAATGACGGGGTTAATTACGCGGGGTGGCTCAACGTATTCAGCCGGTATTACGTCGATGCTCGACGTTGAGGGATCTCGATCATTGAACCTATCCATTTCACCCGTCGTTCCATCTACGAGGATCGTTAAAAACCGCTGATGCTCATTTCCATTCTTGAAAACGCGTCAATACGCGTGTATTTCCCAGATGGGAAATGGGCCAACTTTATAACCACTTAAACTTATAACCACCATCAATCTGGAAACTTGACGCACGACGCGGATTTCGCGTTACGAGAAGACAGAAACGTAGTTTCGTTTCTTAACGACAATTTCCTTCTTAAAAATTTATTTATATCCAATTAATTCAGATTCGTAGAAAATTTAAACAATAACAATAACAGTTTGTGAATTAATTAATGATAGTTATTTATGAACCGTAATAATCCAGAAGAATGTCTGGTAGAAAAGAGATTGATAGAATTACGAACGATTAGCCAGTCAATCGCCCTCCTCCCTCCCTCCCCCCTCCGTAATCCATAAAATATCGTCGCTTACCTCCTAGAATCCATTCCTCCGCGCCAATTTTTCCAACAACCGCGTTCAATTAATCCTCGATGATTTATCGGGGAGGGGAAAAATATATCGGTAATTAAAGGAATTCGGTGGGGGAGGGCTTTTTAGCTCTTTGCACTTGTTCGCGATCGATACGCGAATCGATCGTTCGAATCAATTCCGTCGATAATCGTCGGTTTCGCGGCCCCTTCTTCTCCTCCCCTCCCCTCCCCTCCCGCCGATAATCTCTGCCGTCTCGGCCATTCCTTTTTGCGCTTTCGAGCGCGTTCGTTGTGCTCGATCGATTTCGCGTTAAGCAAACCGATTCGTAGACGATCGTTTGCAACGGCGACGACCCCCTCCCCCCGTTTACGACTACGGGGAGTACAGGATTCTCGGTCGTTGCGACGATTTCACGCACGGATAAAACGGATCTCCACGCATCTATCGAGGTTTCCCCTCCCCTCCTCTATCGTCTAATGAATTCGATTCAAGCCGAATGGAATACCCGCCTCGTCACGTTTTCGATTCGACGCGGCTAATATTTCGAGCCTCGACGCCGCCGCGGCCATTTTCAAACATTCGAGCCGAGATATTCGTTTGTTCGACACATCGTTCATCGATCCACGGGCTCGAGGGAGTGGATCTTCTGCCCGTCCGTTCGTTTCGGATAATGAATTGTCGCGTACGAATGCGTATTCGCCCCGTGACGCATTATACCCGTGCATTATACGCGTTTCGCTTAATGAACAGTATATATGACTGGATGCTGTATACGCAACCGGTGGGACGCATTGTGCATTATTCGGATTGTGCGAGATACAGATTGTGCGATGCGGTAAGACGCGCGTTGCGCCGCATACGCCAAGGTGTCGAGTGTAAATTTTGCGAGGCGCATGCCGGCGCATGACACGCGCAACTTAGCGGTTATTATTAATCGTGAATTTTAATGCCGGTGTCTCGGCGCACTTCTACTTCGTCGTACGAGGCCCGATTGTATCAATATTTGTCCCATCGAAACGGGGAAGGAAATTTCAGTCCAAGGATTTATTCGACGCATATCATCGATACTTGATCTTGAATCAATCTGTTGGTTGGTTATGTGAACAATAAATAAATACGGATTTAGCTGAATGGATATATTTTGGTTATACGCGGGTGCACGTATAATCCGGCTACAGAACAGCAACTGAACAACTGAAGATCGAAGATAAACAAAAGGATGCCGAACAGATATACAGAATAGCGACACCGCTAGCAACGTTCAATAATAAAATTATAGATAAAATTTCAGTGAACTTTATAACACAATCCTATAACTTGTCCTCGCCCAGCGTGCTTGGTTTTTTCGTCTAGAAGACGAAAAGTTTGATCAATTAAGGATTAGTATAATCTATACAGTTCGCGTAAACCACGTTTCGATTAATCTTCCGGATCCAACACGAATGCAGGCTCGCGGTGAAAACGAGATATTCGCAAGGCCACGGCGGTCTCTTACGGCGGCAGGTGACGCCTGATAATTTGCATAAATTATTGCGTCGCATCGCTCGTTTATGCGCAATTATTTGCGCGCGAATTAGAACGCCATTCGTACACACCCATTCTCCCCGGAAATTCCGGCATTACGTTGCCCGCTATATTGTTGAACTACTACTGTACAACTAGGGGAGAGTTCTCTGTTGTAGGATTTACTCCTGGCACGGTCATTACTCGGCTGCATTTCCACCACCACCACCCTCCTCTGGCTTTTCTCCCGACGTGGCGTTACTTTAGCGGCTCGAAATTACGCGGCGAGCCGAAAATATTCGATCGAGATACTTCGATTTTTCGACGACGCGAAAGTTTCTTTCTTTCTTTCTTTTTTTTTTTCTTTTCTTTTCCCTTCTTTTTGCACGAGCGTAGCAAAAGATCCGAATGGAACGCGATTGAAAAACGAAAAGCTCGAGAATCGATGAACGAAACGAGAAACAATTACTTTGGAACGACAGGCGCAATGAAATTTCCACAGTTTTACACTCGTCCGACTGTTCGAGGAACGTTTCGAGTTTGTACGGCACGTGTTACAACCCTATACGTATCGTATCACGATTGCAAACGAGAAAGAGCGACGTTGAAAATGTTTTAAAATCGGATGAGAGTGGTGTTCGTGCAACAAACGTCGAAATATACATACGTTTTTTTTTTTCTATCTAATTATCTGGATATTCCGGATATTAGAAAAATTTCAAGTTCGAATTTTTCACGAAACTGATATAGAACGGGTTCCAAACGGGTTCGCTGTTGTGCCGTCTATAGTTAAATTTGGAAGATTACATTGCATACAGGTGGCGTGAAATTGTCAAAGCTTGCGAGTTTCAAAACTATAAAAAAATTGGAAATCGAGATACTAAATCTAAAATTTCAAGCGTTCAATCGTTAACTCCTAATCCGTAACACGAAGGTACACAACACACGTTCCTCCAGCATTTTTTGAATTTCATGCATGGCAAATGCGACATCGGTGTATCCCTCCTGAAACTCGCTTATTGTTTGTACCATCCCGCTACTGCGATCTTTTTTACCCGTTTGTCATCGCTGTGTGTACAGACCGAACTAACTGATATCCGCGTGGAATACATTATACCCTTTGAAACCGTTTGGATAACAGTTGACGACGTTGGTTTTCCCATGCATACGATACCCTCGATTGTGACATGCCTAGTGTTTTAACGATACCCTCCTGCTCTCCCCTACACTTGTGCAACGTTTCGTTATTAATATATATCGCACCACCTTTCCCTCTGAAAAAAAAAAAAAGTATTCGTTCTTCCCCAACATCCAAAACCTTTTTTAAGATAATCATTTCCATGCTAACAACTCCCTTACCACCTGCTCTGTTCAACAACCGTATCCAATACCCCTCCTCCTCAGGCGTCAATCTCAAAATACGCGTTCATCAATCAGACACTCAGACCAGAATGTCCTCATCTCGATCCGCGTTTCGAATTGGCTCGGGAACCAGCAGCCTGTTAAACGATCCCCATCGCGACTTACTTTATCGCCCGGGGTAATTAGCAGTCCAATCGATACTGTCTCTCTCTCTCTCTCTCTCTCCCTCTCTCTCCCTTCCTCCTCGAGCTTATTTATTCGTCCGCGTAATCGGTCGACCTCGTTAAACCGTACATATATATATATATGTATAACGCGATTGAAAACGTGGGTGGTTGATGACGGTCCACCACTCCACGACAAGTCCCCCGAAACTCTTGTCCTCGATTAATATCCGACCGATTAAGGGGTAGGTTAGGGGTAGGTGGGCGATAAGTAGGGGGCGCAGGTGCCGAGCGTCGATGACTCTGATCGGGATCGGGGCTAACATGCACCTTATCATCCCTGTACACTCGCAGCTCGGCAACATGCACGTTCTAATCTGGATTAGCCCCGGCTAGTTCGTCTTTGTGCGTGGAAACTGGGCCTCCTACGACGCGTGCCCCGCCGCCGTTGTCCACCACACACGCACACCTCGCCCCCTAATTGCGTCATTTTCGTGTAATCCACTCGATTCCGAGTAGGTTACGGGGTACCAACCGCGCTTCGAGGTACACAAGAGCCTGCTATTTGCTACGAGATTGGGTCGATCTTCTCCCAAGGGGTCTTGTGTGATTTTGAGCGGGTATTTTGGGAAACTTGCGCGATTAGGAAAAGTTGTGATCGTTGGAACTGTTCGCGCGAGAGAAACTTTGCTCGCCGTTTCAACCCTTTCGCTATAATCGCTGTGCACAAGATGCCGCGTATCGTGCGAGTTGATGACGATACGACGATTGAAATTATTGCACATCGAATAGTATCTTTTTTTTTTCCGTCAAAGCAACGATCTTTCACGAGCACATTTTTCGTGCGACGGAAAAGTAGCGAAAGGGTTGAAACGCAAACAATCGAAGTAGCAAGATCGAAGAAACTTGCCTCTTGTTTCTGCAAGGCGGCCACATCCCCGCAAACAGGACCCAAACCGGTGAGCTCGGTGTCTTTTCTGATCACCCATTCGATCAGCTCGCGCAAAGACAAGAGAAGGGCGTTCCAGTGTTCCGTATTGCTTTCCAACCGGTTTCTGTAAACAGATAAAAGAACATATTACTCGATGAAACGCGTATATTGAAATATGTCAAAAGAATGTTGGGAAACACACGATATCCCGAAGGGGGAAGGAGTCCATTAAGATTGGAGCTGTGCAACGCGCTCAGACTTGTGTTGTGAACCGACTCGTGAGAACCGTCTGCGTCGTAAATACTGATAAGGGATGGTAGGGCGCGGCGTCACAGGGGAGGAGAGGGATATTTATTCTCCCGGAGAAAGTGAGGGAGAAAATGAAAGAGGGACGATGATGAATGTGCAGCGAAGGAGAGGGTAGAACGACTACTGTCTGCGTGGACAGAATGCGAGAAAAGAGCGAGGAGGACATTCAAGGTGAACTATGAAAACGAGGGGGAAAGGGCGAGGGGTAATGAATGGAAGAAAGATCTCGAAAACATTGTTCGAGAGAAAGGAGAGGTTAAAACAATAGGAGAAAAACAATTAAAGGTTGACGAGCTGCGGGGGATGGAATAATAATAACAAAATACGGGGCAGGGGGGAGAAAGAGAATACCTGTCCAATTTGGAACGAGGTGTAAAACAAATAATCACAAGGACGAGGGGAGGAAGAAGATTTTCAGAATGGAGAAAAGCGACGCGACGCGAAAAAGAAACGCGTATCAAATAGGGGGGAAAAAAATTGTGGGGAGAAAAATGGTGGCTGTCGCTTCATGCGCAAGGTGTATACACAAGAGGCGCGCAAGAAGAAGCGAGAAATAAACCGGCGGTTACCGGTGGTGGTAGAGCGGAACACAAGAGATAGGGAAAATAGACAACAAAGGAGGGGGGGAGGGGAGGGGGGAAATACGAATAAGAAGAGAATAGGAGACAGGGGATATAGAAGGAGGATTGAAAGGAGCGAGGGATCAAAGGATGAGAGGTGGCCGGCGAGAACGGGACAGGAAAGATGGCGCTCCGGATTTAGATTTATATTCCGCCATTGTTGCACCGCCGTCGTCGACTGGCAGCCCAACCTTCCCGTCTTCTCATCCCCCGTCGCGTACAACCTTCCTTTTCATCCACCAAAGCCGCGGACCCGTCGCCTGGTATCGCCAAGGAACAGACCCGCGGCCGGATATATTGCAGTTATTGTAATGTCGATGAAAGTCCTGTGGAATTTCGCGAGCTGGCTGTATACTTTCGACGATTCGGCGACCATCTCTCTCTCTCTCTCTATATATATATATATGTGTGTGTGTGTGTGTGTGTGTGTACATATATCTTTGTATATACCACACGTCGAAAGGTATTGTGCCTTTTTCTCCTCCGAGATAAGAACGATATCGCCCGGCTCCGTGAATATTCTTTTAAAAAAGGATATTTCCGACTGCGTTTCCTATTTCTCCACTCGCTTCGAAGTTAAGACCGGTCAGAAATTTGACCGATGCGAATTTATCTTTCAACGAGACGCTGTTGGAAAACGCTATATCGAGATCGATGGTTTCCTCCTGGATGGATTCGGAAAGGATTTGGAGCGACTTTTTCAAGAGTTTCAAGAGTAAGAGTGGATAAACAAGTTTCTCGATTGAGCCAAGAATGAGTTGACATCCACAACGAAGAAGAGGAAGAATTATTTCAAATTGAATAATCATTACACAGATTATTACCTGTCCAAACTTGACTCGACGATTAAAAGGATTTCATCGATCAGGTCCATCGATATCAAAAAACCACCACCCATCCCAAGTTTCCTTTCCAAACAAGCTAACCTAACCGGCCATCGTTTATTATCCGATCGTCCAGACCAGCAAGGATTGGCAAAAAACGGGGGGGTGTTGATTTTCTCCGGACGATCCTTCCTCCGGAAACAAACAGGAGGCGAGCTCTGGATCGATAGCGGAGGATGATGTCGGCTGTTTAATCGACGCGGTCGTCGAACGATTAATTGCTCCAGCCTGTTTACCATCGGTGAGCGAGATGAAAAGACGCAGAGATCGAGAGTGGGAAGGAGAGGGACGTTCCTCGAAGGGTTAATCGAACATCAACGTTTTTAATCCGTGTTTTCGTTGAAACATCGCAGTCACGAAAAATAACTGTTGAAAATCGGCGGCAAGGATCTTGGAACGGTTTTATTACTTTACTTTCTCGTGCCATTTCAATTCGGTTCTCCACGAATACGTGGCGGACTGCGTGGATTGAATACGATCCTCGACGACTTAATGTAACATAAATCAGCAAGAAATTCTGCCGACGAGCGCCAGCCTCGCGAGAAAAGAGTTCTTTCGAGGGGGGCCGTCGATATGCGATAATTTACTTTCTTCTCGAATATCTTCTTTCGATTCGACGTTTCTGTTTCGATCGAATTTTGCTGTTTCGACAAAGAGGAGTTGAAATATTATAGAAGACTCTGAAATTTAAATAAGTTTGACGAATGAATCTTATCCACAAACATTTTCGTGTCCACGATTTTCGATTTTTCTCTCGTTCACTCATTCACACACGAACGATACCACGGATTCTTCCCATAATCCCTTCGTGATTCTGATTTACACTTATCATTTTCTTCCAATTCGAATTTTTCCTTGAAAAAACAACGAATCGAATAGAGGCAAACAATTCTCAAGTGGGAAAGGTGGTATCGATGCATCCTAGAAATTCATAAAGGATGGCGGTGGTGGATCGGGGATGAAGAGTCAAATTGGATTAGAGAACGTTGGAAACGATAACGCGGCACGGGACTTTTGATTACGGGCTCGATGTTGCGCGTGGGCGGACATTCGGAATAATTAAAACGACGAAACGGGCGCGGATGGCAACAAAATGTCCACGACGAGGCAGAGGAGAACGATTTTAGATAAGCTGGCTTCGTGGATGTCATTCCTCTCTCCCTTTTTCTCTTTCTCGTTTTGTCGAATCTTCTTTATCGAAAACGGGCGCACCTAATCTCTCGCATAATCCTATTGAAAAAAGTTTCTAACGAACGGCGCACAGGTCACTCCGAATCTCGTGAATGTCGTGCCTTCGTTACGATTCGTGGGAAGGGGAAGGAAGTTGGTATATAAAATTGTTGAAAGATATTTAAAAATTCTTCTGGGCAAAGTAACCTTGTTAAGCGCACTTTCTTGCGCGCAGGAAACGAAATTCAATTGAAATTAGGGATTGAAATGTCAAAAGGTGGAGATTAAGATTATGCTAACGAGATCGTTAATAATTTTTTATTAAAAAGCGAAATTGCGTAATTCCTTCTTCGATAAAGAAGTGTAGCTTTATAGTCTTTCTTAAAAAATCTAATTAAGTTTTTTTTTTTTGCAATACTTTGTATTTAAAGAATTACTAATAGAGCAAATAAAAAGCGTGAAAAAAGTTCGAAATGTTGGTAAAAATTTGATATAAAGTGGTATAAAGAGATCCACTTATATCATCTACCGACGTCTTCTTAACGCGATGAAAAGAAGAAGAAGAAGAAGAAGAAGAAATAATAGACTCTCATTAAAATAATCTCTTCTCTCGAGCGATTAAGTGAGATATTAAGTTTAATTTAAGAACTTATACAAGTGCTTGAATTCAATCAAGTTTGAAAAACAGAGGGTTGAGGTATTCCCCGAAATGGACAAACTTTCTTGATGTTTTCCAAACACCTGCGGAAATTAACGAGATTTCCGTATAATTTACAATATGGATTAAAAGTTGATGTAAGGAATCGCGCAAAGAAGCTCTCTCCGTCGTCTTTTCATCCGCTGTGTTACTTTCAATTTGAAACGAGTATTTAAAAAACATTCGTGATAATGAATTCAAAGATAAGGATTTAAAACTCGTACATTAACATAATTAACGGATCGAAGGCGATAATAACTATTGAACCTTATTTATAGAATGCAATAAAAAAAAAAAAATAAAAAAATAAAAAATACTTCAAAATTCCACGAGATCGTTAAAACCTCGTTCACACGAAAAATTCGAGGTAAACTTTCAATTCGAACGATCTCGAATCCGCAACAATTCGATCCCATTCCAACTCGAGAAACATTTTATTTCCCCTTGGGGGATAGTTTAATTTTCAGTGAACTTATTTCCATACCTCGTTCGATTTATAAATTCTTCTCTTCCAACTTCGCCCTTTATCCACGATTCCTAACAAATTTCAACGCCTCGTACATCTCCAACTCGCACAACCCTCCTTGCGTACCCTCCGACACCATTTTCCACTCTATCTTCCCCTCCACCCCATTCACCCGTCCAACTTTTAACTTTTAAAATTAATTCAATTTACAATCCCACGCCTCTCCACGATTTCTCCTGGGTTCCAGTCTCCATCCCTTCCCCCTCCACCCCTGCGAGTTTCGATCGTGGAAATTTTCAGAGAAGAAAATCATCGCTCGCGAGGAGAGATCTCTCAGGATCACCCATTGACAGACCACGACGCAGACGTCCCAGTCAGTAATCGACTCTTCCGCGGAAGGGAAGCGGAAGAGACGGTGGAGGAGGAGGAGGTCCGCCCCAACAAAGCCTTTTGATCTATCACCTCGTCGCAGCCGGTTCTTCCCCGCCGTTTTCCATCGTGCTCTTGTACCCGTTCTACCGGTTAACGCAATAAAGTCGGCAAATGGAATTGCCGCGAACGGGCGGAGCGTTGTAATTCAACTCCTGGGAACAATTTACCGGCACAATTGCAATCTGAGCAAGGTCGGCCGTGTGCAAAACCGATCCAAACTTTCCCGATAAACAACAACAACCAGCCACTGTTCGCGGGTATCTGCATACCGCTTCCGGTTACCCCGGCCACACTTCCACCTACGTACTTCCGTTTAAACACACCGTTTCGATCGCTCCTCCGTGCCATCGCGTCGCCGATGAAAATTTGCTCGCAAATTTGCTTCTTGGCAGGAATTATTATTAATTTTGTGGGAAAATGAATAATCTGTAAACAGTTAAATCGTTGCACTTATGATTATGATTCTTTTTTTAATTTTCGTAATTTCTGCGAATCCAAACGATAACGAAGATATCTCACATCGAAATAGTTATAGTTTACGGCTTA